ATTTTTTTTTTTTTTTTTTTTTTTTTTTTTTGGTACCAGGGATAGAGCTTAGGACCTCACACCTGGCAGGCAGGCACTGTGCCACTAAGCTACATCCCCAGCCCAGAGTTAGGATTCTTGAAAGCAGTCAACGTTCTCCCCACTTATTACTGGACAATTATGACTTACACATAATTCTCTTGATAGTCTTTTATCATTATCATTTAAAAACATAAAAAAGAAGGAACACTGAAACAATTATCCAAAGATTTCAATTCAAAGAATCCAATGCTTGGTTTTAGAAACAGTTGGTTCATAATAATAAGCTCTAGCAAGATAGCCAAAACTCCCCTATGCGTCTGTGGGAACCTTTCACTCTAAATACTGCCTGAGGTCTTTTTGTTCAAATTATTTCCAGGTCAGTATACAGTAAAGAGGATAAAACAAATTAAACTAGTCCTGTAACTCAGAGTCAAATATTAAAAAAAAAGATTTTTTTCTGGATATAGTGTCTCACTGTGTAGCTAGCACAGGCTGGCTTTGAACTTGAGGCAATCCTCCTGCCTCAGCCTCCCAAGTGCTGGGATTACAGGCAGGTACCACCATGCCCAGCAGATTTTCAATTTATAATGACCAATGCTTCATCTGAGGCTAGTTGCTCACCTTGGGTAATAGGGAAAGCAGAGTTGGAAGGTGCCACTAAATCCTTTACCAGAGATCTGCTCCATCCACCCATTCTTTTCACATTTCTGCAGAGTTTTCTTCAGCAAATGCACTGAACAAAAAATTTAGAAATAAAAAGTTATCTAGTTATTCAGATTTGGTAATTCTCTCAATCACAATTACATGTCCATTAATTTAATTTCCTATCATATACAGTAGCTGATGGTTAAAGGAATCCTGTGTGATCAAAAATATGAATTTAGTACACTAAGCATTTATTCAATGTACATAAATTTGGCAAAATTATTCACAGAAAAGGAAAAAGTCTATAGAGTAATTAAAAAAAAAAGACTTGGGCCAGGGACGTAGCTCAGAGGTACAGTGCCCGCCCGGCAAGCTTGAAGCCCTGAGTTTGATTCCTGGTATCAAAAAAAAAAAAAAAGAAAGAAAAAAAGAAAAAGAAAGACAACCCCAGAGGGATCAAGTGACTAGTCTAAGGCAGTACAAAAATGTTCAAGAGGATCAGCCTGGGATTTAGCTCAATGGTTCCACTGCCTCGCAAGCACAAGGTTCCAAGTCTGATCCCCAGTACGAGGGGGAAAAAAAAAGTCAAACTAAAATAAAATATTGTATATTCCCATTCATTCTAACATCTACTGGGTACTTCTTAGTAGACAATACTGGTACTGATTATCATTCAGAATTATCTATAAAGATGAAAACAAATTCCTCATAAATTAACAGTATCATAGCTCCTAAGGGGTTCACCAATCTTATCTTTTGTACAAAGAGATACCATAAACATATGATGATTTAATGTTCAAATACAGAGGCGAAATCAGTTACACTGAAGAGGTTAGTAACTAAATGCATCTTTTAACACATCTGGCCAGCCAGGCATGGTGGCACACATCTGTAATCCCAGCACTTGGAAGGCTGAGGCAGGAGGATCACTGCAGTTCCAAACCAGTCTGGGCTACATATGTAATAAGTTCAAGGTCAGCCTGAACTATACAACAAGACTTTGTCAAAAAAAAAAATTAAGACTTTGAAAAAAAAAAAAAAAAAAAAGACAAAACAAAAAACAACTCACATTTGACCAAAAGAGAGAATCACAAATAGCCTAAAAAGAATAAGTACAATTAAATACAACATATAGTATAGTAGGGAAAAATGATTAAAATAACAGTTTTCAAAGTAGATAGGAAAACAAAGCATTCCTCTGTAACATTAAAAAAATACATGTCCGGGCTGGAGATTTAGCTCATTGGCACTGTGCACCTGCGTTCCAAGCACAAGGTCCTGAATTCAATCCCCGGTACCAAAAGAACAAAAAATAAAAATAAAAAATCCATATTCATATGTTGTCAGTATTAAGAGTTCAAAAATTTAAATATTTAAACTAATATATTCTGGTTTGTATTTTCTATTATTGTTTCCAAATTCCTCATCCTATATTCTTGTGCAGTAGTTCAGTGAGAAGCTCCATCTCATCAACCAACAGCTTATGTGAAAAGGCTAAGTATCTATACACTCAGGTATCTAATCTCAAATCACCACTTCCTAAGGTAAACAGACTCCTAAAACAAAATATTTTGTTATAAGGCTAATTCAGTAAGGAATAATCTAAAACCCTGGGTTGGTTTCAAGATGAAATTTAGTAACCATTCAGAAATGGCAAAAATTCACTACAATTGAGAGGTGTTTTGCATTTAAGAGAACTATCTAAATTACATGAAAACAAGTATCAGAAAAATCTTTAGAGCAAAGTAAAACCAACTTCTGATCAGTACTCACTGTAAATTATGGACAAAGCTTGATTTTTTTTTTTTTTTTTTTTTAGTGGTACTGGGGATTGAACCTGGGGCCTTGCACTGTGCACTAAACTACATACTCTTTTTTGAGGTTCTAAGATGCCTGGCTTGAACTTGCAATCCTACTGCTTCATCCTTCCAGAGGGCTTGGGTTATAGGCATGTGCCATTATACCTAGCTTTTTTTTTTTTGTAAATGACGAGTCTGTAAATGTATTCTCTTGATTTTCATACAGTAGTTTATGCTTTGCTGTTAGTAGCATAATCTTTAAGGTATCTTCACAAGAAAATTCCTCTAATCCTGGTTAAATGCACACAACTCTGATTCTTACTTTGATAATTAGAATTGGTCCCTGGGTGGTTCTCCAGGACATACTTCTTCAGAGCAGTGGTGGAGCAGGTCTTCGGCTCATTCATGGCAGCAATGGCAGACAAGATTGCATATTCCATTGGGCTTCCACCAAGCAGGGGTTTCTCCCCTGATTTCTTCAGCTGTTTTCCAAGGAGGAAGAGAAAAGCATCAAGACAACACTCCCAAAGCAGCTCAAGACAAGACTCCTCTGCACCAGGTGGGTCGGAGTTCCTGCATTAGCACAGATACGTTTTACAATGAATTGTCAGGTTAGGGACTTTCTCTTCTCATTCACCAGGCAGTCAATCTAACTGAGGAGTCCCAACCCTCTAACGGATTATTTTCTCCTTCTATCTACTACCCTAGAATAGCAACAGCTAAACCAATTCAACGATATGAACAATTCCACTCTAATGAGGTTAACTTGCTAAACCCCCAATAAACTAAGGCTCTTTGGAAAATATTCCCTATTACTGTATCTGAAAAATTAAAGTTAATAATAAATACTTTTTTAATACTATAAGGAAAATAACAAAGGAAAAATCTGATAAAAATGTAAGGTATCATATAAGAGAAAATTATGTAGCATATTTGAAGGCTAAAAGACCAAGGAAAAGAAGCACTGATAAGAAAAACGGGAAGGGGCTTGGGATTTAGCTCAGTGGTTCCACCACCTGCCTCACAAGCTTGCAAGGGCCTAAGTTTGATCCTCGGTACCAAAAAGAATAAAAAAAGTTCTACAATATAGGAGCTGTTTCTTAAAGAATGGTTCAAAATTACCTGGAGGTTTTTGAGACCCTTTCAGAGGATCTAAAGGGCCAAAGTATTTTCGTAATAAAACAAACGTGATCTATCACCTGTTTTACTGTTGACATTTGTTCTCAGAGTGCAAAATCTAATGGTTGATAAAACTGCTGCCATCTTACCACAAATCAAGGTAGAGGCACAAAAATGTTCAAGTGATTATTTTCTTCTCTGTCATATACTTATGGTTTTAAAAAAGAAGAAAACTGTTTTATGTTTTACTTAAGAAGGCCTCCGAAGCTGGGAATGGTGGTACATGCCTGTGATCCCAGCACTCTGGGAGGCTGACACAGGATGATCACAAGTTCAAGCTCAGCCTGGGCAACTTTGACACCGAGGGACTCTGTGTGAAAATAAAAAATAAGAATGGCTGCAGATGTAGTGTGGTGTGAAGTCCTTGGGATCTATCCCCACTAGTAGAGGAAAATAAAGCCCTTAAGTAGTAACAATTATTTCTAAATCTCAACCCAAATGCATGTCCTTTTAATATTCACAGGATGAAATGGGACAATGCAGAAAACATCTGTACAAAGGTACAATTGTGTTCTTAAGGAAACTCACCTGTGTGATTGAGTTTTGAGTTGAACTAGGCACATTTTTATGGAATTTCCTTTTTAATTGAGGGAACTGATAAACTATGGTTATTCAGAGCTGGAGATCAGATAAATACTACCTTGAAAATGAATTAAGTGAGCTTGTCACTTCAAGAAAAACAATAGTATTTGTTGCCACTGGCAAAGGTCAAACTTTCCAATGAAAATTTAAATCCTGGAAAACTTTCCTATCTATCACTGTAACTCTGACAGCCTCCTAATATTCAACCATCATTCTTACAAGAACAGTCGTTGATACCAATGGTTGTGAAATTCTGTTACCATACCATGATAGTATCTGAAAATTATGCATAATTCAGTATAATACTATTTTCAAAATAGCCAATGTACCAAGTTACATTATGATGATGATGATGATAATGATCCATTCAAAGATCAAGACAGATCAATGAATTTTAAAGTAAGAGAGTATAAGAAGCTCACTGATATGGTTTCAGGTTCCATATGGTAACTAACCTTTAAGGAACTACCATAAAAATCAATGTAACATATTAACAGAAAAAACAAAAATAACAAAGAACAACAAAAACCCAAAATACAACCATATCAATAGAGGAAAAGTATCTGACAAGTCCAACAGCCATTTATGATAAAATTTTTCAAAAAAACCAGTAATATAAAATTTCCCAAACTGTGATACTGTGATATAAAGGGGAACTTTCTCAACCTGACAATAAAATGGGATGTAGAGGCACATGCCTGAAATCCCAGCACTCCAGAGGTTGAGGCAGGAGGTTCACTGTGAATTCAAGGCCTGCCTGAACTACATAGTGAGACCCTGTCAAAAACAAAACAAAAACAAAAACAAGGACAAAATACCTGACATAACAGGCATCTGTGAAAAATCTACAGTGAAACTGGGCATGATGGCTTATGCCTATAATCCCAGCACTCTGGGAAATTGAGGCAGGAGGATCATAATTTCGAGCCTAGCCTCAGTAAAATAAAAATATTAAAAAAGGGCTAGGGATGTAGCTCAGAGCAAAGGACAAAGGTTTAATCTCTAGTACTGCAAAAATTTAAAAAACCCAAAACCTGAAGCTAGCTTAAAAGATTGAAGACTTTCTCTCTAAGATGGGGGAACAAGGCAAAGATGTCTGTGCTCACACCCCTACTGAACACTGCACCAGGGGTTACATCTAGAGCAATCAGACAAGGACAAGAAGTAAAAGATATCCAGACTGGAAGAAATAAATCAGTTTTAAAGGCAGATAATATTACTGTGCATTATAAAATTCTAAGGAATTTACCAAAAAACCCTACCAGAACTAGTAAATGTGTTCAGCAAGATCACAGGATACAAGACTAACAGACAAATCAATTGTATTTCTACAAGTTAGCAGGAACAATCTGAAAATGAAAATAAGAAACCGATTCCATTCATTACACCATGAACAATAAACTATTCAGGAGTAAGTTTAACAGAAGAAATTCAAGAGCTATAGACTGAAAACTACAAAACACTGCTAGGAGAAACTGCATAAATGAAGAGATATTTGGTATTCATGGAGGGAAGAACTTGACAAAGTAATAACAGATAACAGTTCTCTCCAAATTGATCTATGGATTCAATCCAGTTCCTACTAAATTCCTAACCCTGCCCCCAGATGTGAGTCTTAAAATTTACACATAAATGCACCAGACTGAAAAGAATCTAAACACTCCTGAAAAAGGTAAAAGAGGATTTATAATCCCAAATTTCAAAATTATCAAGATACAGTCAACAAGACAGTGTGGTGTGCTGACATTAAGGATTCTCTATGTACACCAATAGAACAAAGAGTCCAGAAATAAACCCTTTATGTATAGTAAAGTGATGTGTGACAAGGTGACAACTCATGAGGGAGAGATAGTCTTTCAATAAGTGTTGCTGGGAAAACTGGATACCTACCTGCAAAAAAATGAATTATAACTTACTTCATATTAAAAACAAAACTCAATACAGAGGACAGGCCAAAGCTATACGACTCAAAGGAAAGGAAATAATAAAACTTGTTTATTTTTTGGTATGGGGGATTGAATCTGGGACCTTGTGCTTTCAAGGCAGGCGGTGGCACCACTGAGCTAAATCTCCAGTCCAGAAATAATAAAATTCTTAAAAAACATGAGTGTACTTTTGTGACCTCAAGTCAGGCAGTAGACCAACACCAATTTAAAAAGCTGATTAAGAGACATCATTAAAATTAAGTCACAGAATTAAATCTGTGCTCAAAAGATATTTAAAAAGCAGCAGAATAGGAGAAAAAGAGAAAGTCTTTCCGAGTCTTATTATGTGATAAGGGACTTCCCATCAGTACTTGGGATAGAACCCGAGGCCCCACACATGCTAGATAACCACTCTAGCACTGAGCTGAACTACATGCCGGGTGAGCCCTTTTCATTCCAAGACAGAAGAGGTCTTTGCTAAGATACTCAGGCTGGCAGAAACCTAATATCCTTCTGCCTTGGCTTCCTAAGTAGCTAGGATTGATTACAGGTTGTGCAACCATACAAGGCATAAAGGATCATTTTTAGACAATGGCAATATCCTAAAACTGAATTGTGGTGACAGCTGTATAACTAAATTTATGAAAAATTCACTGTATTATAAATTTTAACTCATATTAAATACACCTTATGGTTTGTAAACTGTACCTCAGTAAAGCTGTTAAAAACCTATGTTAATGGGCCGGGGATTTAGCTCAGCGGTTCGGTGGCCTGCCTTGCAAGTGCAAGGACCCAAGTTCAGTCCCCGGTTCCAAAGAAAGGAAAAAAAAAAAAAAAATCTATGTACCATTTGCTGAGATTTGGTGTAGTATCAAAGAATATTATCCACAAGTATCTGAATCTTTTTTTTTTTTATACAAGGGACTGAACTCAGGACCTTGCACTTGTGAGGCAGGCACAGTGCTGCTGAGCTAAATCCCCAGCCCAAAAAAGTTATCTTTTTCTAGTCACATTTTGTATTAGATTTTTTTCATAGGCCCAAACTACATCAGAAGAGGTATCAGCCAACTTCCATGGAAGACATTTGCAAAAATGTAAAAAAGCGCTCCTCTTCTCAACAAAAACATTTTTTTGGGGAAAATAGTTATTTATGCAAATATGTAATAAGTTTTTGTTATTTTTAAATGAAATCAGTATTAAAATTTTGTTTTAATTTCTAATACAGTAAATATTTACAAGTTTCTCAAACAAAAACACTTTGGAGTCCTCAATAAATTTTTAGAGTATAAAGCAGATCCTGAAATCCAAAACTTTGAGAAGCACTTGTCTACAATCAAGGTTTTAGTCTCTAACCTGGAATGTCCCCGAAGCACCTTTGCCAGTTATTTGTTCTAACTGGCCTCTCTCTACTGCTCTCTGCAGAGCATTCTTCAACAGCTGAGGCCTGCAGAGAAAAACAGAAAAAGAAAATAAAGTGATAAATATATGAATTAAATGAAAATATAAAGAAATAGGTCCAACTTATTCCCCAATCTAAAGTTCTGGCATCTTTTGTATGTACTAGTTTACTAAAATGAATAAAAAATAATATCAGATTGGTGACATCTTTAACAAGGAATACCCCCACTCTTTCTTGTACCAGGGATTGAACTCAGGTCCTTGCACTTGTGAGGCAGAAAGTGGAACCACTGAGCTAAATCCCCAGCACATTCCTTTTATCCACAGCAAAGATGCCAAGTCATTACCTGTACACACAAAACCAATTTTTAAACTCCTGGAGCACCCCCCAAACCCATTATTTATTACCACTGCACCACAACAGTGACTGGCCTGCATAACCAAGGGATGGTCACAGCCTCTATGTGATCCAGGCTGGAGAGAGGTTTTGGTTGGTTTATACGTCTAATGTGTCAAGTCACCATGCTGACTTAAAAAAAAAATTTGTAGAGATTCATTCCAGAAAACTGAGAACATGTAAATATGGTCTGGATTTTTTAATTTAAAAAATTTTTGGTACTAGGGATCGAACTCAGGACCTTAAGCTTGCGAGGCAGGCAGCAGAACTACTGAGCTAAATCCCCAGCCTGGACTGGATTTTAGATGTAAAGAATTATTCTGTTAGGAATGATGATTATGTTTGACTTTTATGGATATATTTGAGAGCTTCCAAAACTGAGCTTTAAGAAGTAGTAATGGACAAGCATAGTGGCAAATGCCTGTAATCCCAGCTACTCGAAGTTGAGGCAAGAACATCTACTAGTTCGAGGTCAGTCTGGGCAATTTAACAAGACTCCATCTCAAACAAAACAGGGACAGGGATAGAGTTCAGTGGTAGAGAGCTTGCCTAGCATGTGTGAGGCCCAGGGTTCAATCCCCACGAAGGGGGAGGGGAAGTAATAAGGCAGCAGTGGCAAACCTATGGCACGTGTGCCAGTCATCTATTTGCAATCACCGAAAGCTCTAAAAGGTTCACCACTGCTGGTGTAAGCACTCTTTCCACCATGTGAGAATATGAGAAGGCAGTCAGAACCCAACCATGTTGGCACCCTGATCTCAGACCTCTAGTCTCCAGAAATGTGAGGAAACAAATTTGTTTACGGAACAAAACAATAATAATAAAGCTATCAAGGCAAGCCTATGGTAATGATATGACAGTAAAAATTTGAGGTTAAAGAAATCAGCAAAACGGATGTATGTGTGTGTGGAGGGGGTTAAGGCAAAGGGAAGAACAAAGGTAAAGGCTGAGAGGCCAGCGAGAGTTAAGAACAGATATGCAGTGCCTCACAAGCCATTTTAAATAGTCTGGCTTTAACTGTGAAAGGGTTTGGAAGCCACTGAGGATTTGAATATAAAGGTGATATAACCTTACATTTTAAAAAAGTCTGATGAGCACTATAATGTTTAGAACGTAGTAAAGGAGAGCAAGAAAAAAAGAAAGATACTGTTCCTGTTCTAATATGTGAGAGATGCCAGCAGAATGAAAAAGAGTAGAAGCAACAGAGGTGATAGCGACAATAAATTTTAAAAACAAAGTGGGCCAAGGATTTAGCTCAGTGGTTCCGCCACCTGCCTCTAAAGTCCAAGTTCGATCTCTAGTACCAGGGGAACAAACAAACCAAAAAAAAAAAAGCCAAAATAACTGCTTATAGGTTAGATGTACATATGTGAGAGGACATCAGTATAAAGCCAGAATTTTTAGTTTGAGCAACTAGAATGATGATGTCACTAGGATGGAGAAACAGCACTTTTCCAAAGGATGGGGATGATAATCAAGGGTTTTTTGGACATGTAA